GAAGAAGAAGAAGAAGAACAACAACAACAACAACAACAACAACAACAACAACTACAACATTAGAAACCGAGCAACTTCTTGAACTAAACAATGCTTTTATCGAAGGCATCAGAGAGACGGCTCGGCAAATTTCTACAGTTTAAGTCGTGTGGTGTCAATGATGTGGAGAGCCACAATTATTTTATAATTACAAATAGTTAGTGTTTGTTTTTGTGGCCGGAAAATGTACCTTTTTATTTTTTTTTTATTTTTTTATCGGAGGTGTCAGATAGTAATTGTAGTTTGTGTCATGTTGCTACCCATGTATTTTGCGCGGGCAAACCTGTATTGTGAGTGTGTATAGCTGCACATACACATTCATGCAGATAATTAATGTTCGCCCTCCATGTTTGCACTGTGTGGATGGGTGTGCATTGTGTGTGTGGGCATGCACACATTGTGCACACATTTGTATGTGTGTGTAAGTATCCCTCTCCGTTATCTCCATCCACCAGATTCCCCTTTGGACAGTCTACAGCCCCAGCTTTTTTTTTTTTTTTTTTTTATCTAGAGAGGGAATGATTATTCATAAAATTCAACCAAAGCTCAGACGTTTTAATCCACACAATCGGTAACTTTTTTTCCAGTCTTCTGCTGTCCACGATCTCTGAGGATTTTGATAGAAAATGGGGGCAAATATGTTTCACTTTGTCACATTTAAATTTCAAATTAAAAAAAAAAGAAAAAAAATTGCACATATATACTCCCTTCCCTATAAGCCGCAGGTGTCCGCATTTTTTTTTTTTCACTTTTAATTAAATAAATTCGTTTTTTTTTTTCCGAACAGTGCCTGTAACACGGCTGGTTACAAGTTAGCTCTTTCCTGCTTCGACGCTCCGACTGTAGTTGGGACATTTGGCACAAGGGAGACTTGTGATCTGCAATCTTCCAGGGCTGAAGCTAACGTTAGCTCCGGGGCTAACTCCCTTCTCTTTGTGTTTGTCCGCAGCAGAGGTAGAGCAGAGCGTTTTAACAGTTCCTGTATAACCAACTCACGCTTTCAACGTGACAGGGCTATATATAGGACATATCCGCACACAGCCATTCACAGACAGGCATACGCTACTAGCATAACACACAGTAGCCTACCAGAAAACTCATTGATCGCTAGTGGTAGGAAATTAATTAGCCCATACGGATTCATAAATTAGCTGCGTAATTGTTTAGGCTGCCGGCTTCAAAGTGTGTGAAAAAAAAGTAGCGGCTAGTCCAGACTAAACTATGGTAACCTTAGTATTCAATTCAGCATAAATAGCATCCATTTCTAAAATATATAGCTCTCCATATGGTTATGTATATATTTATTTCAATGGAAGCCATCAGCAGCTTAACGCTACAATGCCCATTCTAACTATCCTAATATCATACATCTGTTGGGGTAGCTAATGAGTGTGTCTAGAAAACCAAATCCATTTCACCAAATTTAGCTCAAAAGTGAGGAATTCCATTACATCTGCCATTTCAGAGGCACTGCTGTGCAGTATCAGGGAGAGATCATTTTGTCGGCAGGGCCAAGACGCATAATCAGCTACTTCCTAGCAAATAAGCACATTGACAAAATGGAGACAGCAAAGCAGAACAAGCCAGACCTCCGTGTTTTTTCACAGCAGCTTTAGAAGCCAACATAATCTAGAACAAGCATGGCCATACTAAGGCTTGGGGGGGCAGATGCGGCCCATTTAGCTTTTTAATTCGCCCCGCCAAACCTTTCCAAATTAAATAATTAATTTTATTATCATTATACTTCTGCCTTTTCCCTGCAATACGCACGTTTCCCCAACAGATGTCGTAGAAAATGATAAGAGCATTTTAGCCTCTATGCATGACGTTAACAGGTCATTTATCTTAGTTAGAAATTTCCCAAATATGAGGGTAATTAAGTTCAACTTTTCCTCATACTCGCAAACCCATGCTTCCTCTCTGGGTGTGTACAAAATGTGACGGACAACGCGAGGAGTTACATCTTTGGCTTTCACTCCACAGGATAGAGCGAAACCAATTAAAGATGTAGAATGAACTGGGCTGTAGAGACACATGTTGCTAAGCTAGTAATATTATAAGAAAAAAAAAATTGGATGGAGCACACTGACCAATACGATGGTAGCGCTGGCACTGATTGCTGGTGTGCTGCAGGTGGTGCTGGCCGAGTCGCTGTGCATGAGCGTGGGCGTGTAAGAGGTCATGTTGTGCTCAGGTGCTTGGCTCTGTCCAGTATAGCCCTGGGTTGAAAGCGTGTGTTCCTGGGAGGCAAATTCAGGGGTCATGTTATTTTGAAGATGTGAAGGTAGATACTGGGCTGATGGGTATGACTGGGTCATCACTTCTTGGGAGTTGGCGGGTTCTTGATTATCCTGAAAGAGAAAAAAATAAAGATACGTAACAGGGCTGAGATCCAATCAGAGGTGATGGTCTTTGTGATTAGGCGCGCCTGAATTTGGGAAGTACTGTTAACTGCTCCAATCAGAGGTGATGGTTTTTGAAATGAAAAGTGATTAGGCGGGCCTGAATTTGGGAAGTACTGTTAACTGATCATAGACAATATTTATTTGTAAATTATTAAGTGCACGGGTCCTGACTGTACTTTCCCAAAATGTATTATCTGAAGTTAGGAACATCCAACAGGAAACCGGAAAACAATCCTGTAGCACTGCAAAAGTGATTGATACAATACCTTAAAAAGGATTTTGCTAAGGCTGTAATACATCCTGCGGAAACAATCATGCTTCTTGCCAATACTCCTTGCAATTCTAATAGTGGTCTGCAGTTTCCAAATATTTTAAGAGGGGGATTAAAGCAGCGCACACGAGAAATTATCTAGCAATTGACTTAAACTTGCACTTTGTGTTTTTGACACTCCAACACTGTCATAGCCATAAATGCAATGGTACTAATAATTGGTATAATAATTTCTTTCAATTCAGTGTTCAGTCTTGGTTTTCTCATTTTCGGTTTCGCCCAACTATTTTAATTTCGGTGCATCCCTACCATTTATTTATTGTATAATTCAATCTGTTTTCTTTTCTTTTTTCTAATCTTTTTTCTGTATTTGTTTTAGTTTTTTTTTAGTTATCCAAGTTATCTTCATAACTCAATCTGTTTTCTAATATTTTTTATGTATTTGTTTTGTTTTGGTTTTTTTTTAGTTATCCAAGTTATCTTTTATCCTCATCACCAGGTATATCTAAAAATTACTTTTGTCCAAAATTTTCCTTTTTACAATACATCCTTATTTAACTGTGTGATTCCACAGTATAGCAGTTAGCATGTCTGCCTTGCATGTAGAGAAAAGAGAGTCCTGGGTTCAATTCCCAGAAGGAAGACATACTGTATCTCTAATGATGCCTCCTGTGACAGCCTGTGTGGGTTGCGAAAAATCACATTTTTTTTTTTTTTTTTTAAAACAGGAACAAAACCATTTTATTTTATCAAACGCAAAAAAGGGGATATTGTAAAAAACAATAGATTTTTTTTTAATTCCCCTACAGTTCAACCGTTATTTTTGTATGTACCCCATCTTAGTCATTTATCAAGGATTCATGGTTCAAATGATGGTCTGTCCACTTTCCTTCACTTTTCCTTCTGGGTCGTCCAATTACGGCTCAGGGAGTGTAGCTGGAGCATTGTTAACTTCAATACGTCTGCCTAACTTCCCTCTTAACCCGCCTTCCTTCACTTTTGAGAACAGCACAGTTTCAAACCCGTCTGCGGTCAATGATGTACAGCCAGAGAGACTGTAGACTGAAATTCTATCTAATCTCCTTTTTTTTAGCAGTGCTTAATTTGCGAAAAGACAGAAAAGGATTTGCGGCTTAGAGAGGCTTAAACATTGGACCCTTAGGTTTGGGGGAGTCTATTCGTTATTTCCCTCCTCATCATCATCATATTGTCTGTCTGCATGTCTCAGCAGGTGAAGAGGAAGTGTCTACTGCATTTTTAATGAAGAATGTTGATGCTCTACTCCACAGCAGCAGCAAAGCCTGGCAGCCAAACTCCTGTCTGTCTGCAAATCCAAGTTGAGTTTTTTTTCTTCTTCTTTTTCTCAGAGGAAGAGCTGATGTCTAGTATATCTACTCCACTATGCTAATGAGTGAGAGGTGAAGCCAATGTTTCGCTGCTTTGTCAGCTTCTATATATATACTTTTGACTGGGAGAAAACTCAGGAGATGGCTAGTGGTCGGCTCGCTCGGGGCTTTTGAGCTCTAGGGGCAATTCTGTAATAAGTCAGTCACTTCAAGCTTCTAGAAATTAAAGGTATACAACAACGTACCAGTATTTACACTGTGTACCATGTGTTTTACACATGTATCAAACACAGTTCTTCCAAGGAATTTCTTATATAAGCATTTACGCGACAGGAACTAATGAACTGAAGCTCGAGTTACGTCCATTTGTACAACGGAAAGGCTTTCCCCCCTCATTCCCATTTAATGAATGACAATCAAGATTAAGCTTGAAACTAATTCCTCTTTTAAAAATAAAACCACAAGTCAGGAACTACTGATGGTACCAAAGCCTTTATGCTTTACAAGGCCCGAAAGAACAGCAGGATTTAAGAACGGTGACTTAAACTAACATTTTAAACACAGTCCTGTACAAGACACCCAAGACAGTGGGTATTTTCTACCGTATTTTCTGGACTATAAGTCGCACTTTTTTTTTTTTCATCCTTTAGCTGGGTTTATACTCTGGTGCGACTTATATATATCCATATATTTGTTATGAACACACCGACAGTATACTCTGGTGCAACTTATATATATTCATATATTTGTTATGAACACACCGACAGCCGCTAGATGGCACTCTAGCTGGCTAGCATTCTAGCTAGCTGGCTGCACGATTTGATGAAAATGTGCGATTGCGATTATGGTGAACAATGTGGTCCATTTGCGATTGCAATTACGATATATAAATGAATGTCACGAGTCTCCTTGCTTGGATATCAAAGACAACACGGAAACAATGTGGTCGATTCGCGATTGCAATTATGATATATAAATGAATGTCATGAATCTACTTGCTTGGATATCAAAGACAACACGGAGAATAACAATAGCTTGTATATTTCAAGAAATTCAAAACCCAAAGTTTAGATACAGATTTTATTTATATTCTAATATTAAAAAAAATAGAATTTTTGAAACTGCCTTTGCATTTCTGCAAAGTGTAAAGGCAGTAGCACAATGGTAAAGACCAATTCTGTTTCGTAAAGCTTCCAAGTACTATTTGATAAAATATAAATAAATAAAAAAAATAAAATCGAGGAAGGTTAAAGAACAGCATTTCTTCTATATATTTAATATATATACATATATAAATAAAACTAAAAACTTGGATTCTTAAAACTCACAGTTCAGCACTGAAATGTGATACTGATACTCCTGCTGCTATTTCCCTGCAGTCACACTAGTGTGATGTCATAACTGCTCCTTTATTGATTTGTCTATCCCATGACACCACCATGAATGGCTGATGAGTTTGGCTTACTGTCTTAATAGGCCTCATCCAGAGCTGCTCTTATCCTGCTGTGCACAGCACTCTTTCAAAGGTTTACTTTTTTGTAGCATGATTTGCACTTGGTCATCATACTTTACTGTAAGTAAAAACATTGTGTCTACATTTGAATAATGTTATGCGTTTAGACCACATCCAACTTTACTGTATTCACTCAAATGAGCAATTTTAGCTTCTGCTTCAATAATGTAAAAAAAAAACCATTAAATAGTATTCTATCAACTAATAAATAATAATCATTAAAAAAATACTCTGACCATCGCACAATATCTTGCATTTACCGCACATACTCGCGTATTAGCCGATTCGCGTACAAGCCAACCCCTTAAAATTGATCCCAAAATGGTGATTTTTACAAAAACTTATAAGCCATCCATAATTAGAAAATTACCTTGGTAAACACTGTTTACGATATCAAGGCTTTTGTGGCTTTAAAACATTTTTTTTTGTCAATTTCAGAATGCTTAAACTTTAACTATTGGCTCTCCGTGGGGCAGGGGCGCGAGACATGCATGTTGCCCAGTTGTTAGGATACAGGGGGCGCAGTTGATGGCCAGTCACTAGTCAGGGCTCGTCATACTTAGGGATTTGCCTTATTTCACCTGCATCACCTCTTGCCTCTTGACCATCGCTACCTTTTTTTTTTTTTTTTACATTCTCCTCAAAAATGTGACTGGCCTCCAACTGCTGACTTGCTCACAGTGTATTGACTTTCCTCTCCTTATCAAATTACAGCCACCTCAATAAAGCCACTCACTTCAGCACGTCGGGAAAAATTCGGTTTTCTTCACAAATCGCCCCAGCCCCCGCGCCCTTGCTGGCAGTTACGGCAGGAGGGATGGTGTGATAAGAGTGTGACCCTGGTAGCTGATGTGAATTCATGTTTATATTTTCCATTTGGTTTCACGCAAATGTAGACACAGATGTGTCTTAATTGCGGCCCGACGCAAGCTCAATCGTTCTGACCAAACAATTCCTGCCTTGGCTTAGCCACCGCAACTCTGATTTACTTCTGTGATCAGAGACTGGTCCAAATATCTTTCCATAAATAGACAATAGATTCGAACAACTGCAGAAAGAAAAAAATTAAACTGCCCTGTCACCTGGTCAAACAGAAAAGGGAAACAATTTACCTGCTGCTTATAAGGGAGCAGAATAAAAGAGGCTAGTATTAGAGTTGCAGGTCCATTTGCATGGGAACGCTGCCTCTGTCTGCATCCCAAATACAATCAATACTGGGGAAGATTGCCACCAATGGAGAAAGCAGAGCCCAGTCTGTCCAGTATGTGAATGTGATATAACATCCGGAAAAAGAAAGAAGGGCAGAGCAGTGATTTTTTTTTTCTTTTCTATGACTTCAGCACCACTGATGTATTGTCAGGTCATGTTCACATATGTAAATATGCTTCAGATTCGCAGAAACGTGTTGGAACTCCCACCATTTAAACATGCAATCACACATCGTGACCTATCATCAACACTTATCTTACCTCCATTGTCCAATTCTAAGCTCGTTCAATGCAATCACTCGTCACTCGTATGAGCGCTAACCAAATTCAGATGCTGCGGAAGAGAAAGGAAATGGGCAAATTGTGATAACCAAACCATATATATGTGAATAACTAATTCATAACTAATCGTGGTTGTCAACATGGCACAAACAAAGTCCTCAATTCATGAGAATGTGGCGGGGGTCGCAATTAATGGGAAACGCTGTCTATGAATATGAATCAAGCCAAAATTCGAGCCAAAAAGGACACAAGATAGCCCGAGAAATTAGCCTACTTAAATGTTACCAGTAACAAGACGGGAAGTCAACAAAGAACAAAGCAAGATG